CTCGGGATGATCGTAACCGATGGTTAGAGACACTGAGCGATATGGCTGGGTGTCGTAAACAGTGGCGTTCTTGCATCTTCTCAATATCTTTGCAGCCATCGTTTACTAGAAGTATCAATTTTCTCTTTGACTCTACCTTCAACTTTCCTGTTCTTTTCCTATTCTTCATCCAAATGGGCAGTAAAAAGACAGCAACCAAAACCGGCGCACGAAAGTGCATGGGTAATAGTTGTTCAAACTGAAACTGAAACATTTATTTTCCCTCTTATCATCATTTCTGGTTTGCAAGTAGCTTGAAATTCGGGAACAGACAAATAGGTCTCTGTAGATTCATCTATGCCAAAATGGCATACTATGTTGGACTGCGTAAACTGACAGTCCAGCTAGTCATTTGGCATAGTCATTTAACATGTATTCTGTTGCTCTTCTCTGACTCATTTCGTTTTCACATTTCATCGCTTTTCTTTTAAGCTTGTCTGACGGAACTGTTTGCCTCTTGGCTCGTTCATTGGCACATTCCACCGGATCAGCTGATCACATTCTATCAGAGTATATGCCACACCTCCGAATCCAATCCGAATTCTGATTCCACGGAGCTCGCACTGATCGATTCATCTAATTTACGTCGAGGCAAGTTTGTTCTTTTTTCGAAATGCGAGGTGGCTTCGTGTGTCAGTGATTACTGGGCCGTTTTTTCTTCTGGTGGTACACAAAATTTACTTGGTCGAATGAAGTTTTCAAATTTGAATGCACAATGGTTACCGTATTGGCCTCAATTACACGTTGTCGACTAAGGATTCCGATAGATATTTTCCCTCACTACTGCTAGCTTGTTGATGAGGATACCCCAAATTCACAAAGGACGCCTTCCATAGGAGTTTAGTTTGGAAGACGCTTCTACCTTTGATTTTTCGAGGTTGCACAGCTAACTGCCGACTACGAGGCAGTATTTTGTTATAACATGATTGTCACCCGCTTTTAACGAGCTCTTTCGTCACCCAACTAGTGTGAACAGGTTTTCTCTATGACCGCTCCATCAGACCACAGCTTTCGTCTTTGCATGCCCTACATTTACTCTGTGAGTGTTTTGAGTCCCACATTCCTTTAAGTTTGTTTAAGTCACCTGTTGAGGTGTTCGTCTCAACGGAAAACTGGTGGAATATCATGTAAGGAACTCGACCGCCTTTCAGCTGATAATCACTATTGCTATCATATACATACTTGCTACTTTTGAGCGATCACTTCCTACGGAAGGATAAATCGGCTTTTTGGGTGTCTGTAATGATGGTGACTCATGCGTGACGATTGGCGGCAAGGTTGACTCTCTTTGAGACCCAGTTCTGGTTCCAGTTACGAATTCCATATATGGATTGAAGGCCCAGTAATTCCAAGTCCGCTTCGATCGTACTACTCCACGTTTTCAGTTGACCGCTGATTCGGCAACGCCCATCCAAGGCGCGGTGCAGGTGGCTACAGCCTGCTGTGAGAGTTGAGTTTCGAGCACATGGGCAAACAACTGAAAGGCATCGGCGTTGTAAAAGTTTTGAAAACTTGTCGATG